CATATTTACCATTGATTAAGAAGGAAAATTATTTACTCTGTTAGTGACTTTGTGATTGTCAAGTGAGTGAGTATTTTATCTGACACTCTTACTACACAGACACACACACACACTTTTAAGAACAGGCAATAATATATGTGATGAAGGTTAAGACTATTCTACTCTGAAGGAACTTGTAAAAATCCAATCTGAACACAAGCTTGGGAACTAAGAGTAGAACTGAAAATATGTTCCCAAAGAAAATAGAGATTGACCTCTGCCCATCATATTTTCTTTAAGAACCAAGCATTCCAAATCCAGGTTTTGTATGAAGAATATCAGCCAGCAACTGTTTGCTACTTCCTACTTATAAGGCCAAATTTAAAAACTGTTTCCAAATTACTCACAAAACTGATTGTACTTCAGGGGTCCTATAAGACTAGACAGAGTACTAACAACATAAAAAGGATCTTACTGAAGATACAAGCATGGCTCACACTTAGTGTGGTATTTACATTAAAGAACAGAAAATAACTCCTCAGCCTTATTTAGAAGTATAGTTGCCCAACAAAATCAAAGTGCAAAATATTGAGATTCGCTCATTTTTGTTTTAACCAACTTTCTAACAATAGTCAAATGAGAAACTGGACAACTGTTCTTTTTTAGAGGTAAATAAAAAGATTTAGAAGACTAACTTGCAAAGGATGCCAGCAGTGTTGCGACTATTTGGCTGTTGGTTTATTTCTTAATATGAAATAAAAATCATTACTTTCATCTAGTCTATGGTATCCTACAAACGCAGAGTCTGCCATTTTCAAAAAAGTACTGAAGTAAGAGAAAGCAATTCAACCTCTCATGGCTGATGAAGCAGAGGCTGTGTGTACATATTACTGATAGCATCCTAGGCTCCTTATGACTTGCTCTAAAACTCTGCTTAAAGCTCTCCTTTACTGGCATGCTGTGGAACAAACAAAAAAACTTTGATAATAGGCTGCAGATCCACTTAAATCACTAATGCAGACCAAATACTAACTCATTATTTATTTTCTAGTATTGAACCATTTCTTGTCACAATAACTTTTTTTTTTTTTCCGCTATCCTACCAGTGAAACCTTATCTATGTTTGTTAGGTATACTACAGCCAAGAGAGCTTAAGTAAAATTAGCTCTTCCTCGTGTTTGCTGCTGTACAAACACAGATGCTCCATCTATTCCCAAGAGTTTATTTTATAAAGGAATTCAAACTACAAAATGAAGTTATGGATGAACCATAAAAAAGGCACATTTATCTTCAATTTAGTGCAAGTGGTATAAGTATGTCTTGCTGTGCTACAGAATGTTTCTTTTTTTCTGAAATAGATATGTGGCGACAATAATTCTAACCTCCAATGTGCCAAGTCCCACACAAAGCAAAAAATTACAGCACCTGCCCTCTGAAAAGTTTTCTATTGGGACAAATGACTGGGGTTGGGGACGTGGTTGCAATCTTAGTGCTTTCACAGAAGGAAGACCTGTTCTGCAGGAACTGGACTGATATCTTTTTCCACATAGCAAAGCTAACAGTTTGACGTCATTGTCTTTCAAACACCGGCAATTGAGACCTACCACTGACACATGCAAATTTATGCATGAGGTTTTCAAAATCAGCAGACATCCCTAAAGACATCAGTGAAACTTCTGCTTCTAAGTGGAGCTGATCATTTTGGAAAAATAAACCAGTCAAATAAATTACAGGCTTTAGTTATCCTGGGTTTTCCAGACAGCAAATTTGCAATCAAAGCTCTTAGCATGTTACAGTTCTAAGCATGTAGCATAATGTCAGTATTATGGAAATTGTGAACAAGTTGATATTTCTGAGATGTTATGACTTTTTACTTTGTTAGAATATATTTTAGTGTTCACATGTAGCTTACATTTCAGCCAGACTTTCTACACACTTTCAGTTCTTGGACAGCTACAGACAGCTGTGTAGCAAATACCTTTGAAACAACCTCCCCAACCTGTACTGGCTTGCAAGAGAAGGAAATGTGGTATCACGGAAAAAAAGGCGGGGGGGGGACACCAAGTCTTCTAATACTTTAAAACATAAAATGAATGAATACAAATTATTCTTGGTTTCAATTTTTACAGCTTCACATATGAAAACTGCTTGCAACAGCATTATCTCAATTTACCATATCAAGTGT